TTCCACTAGACATTAGAGCTGCCTGGACTTCCATGAAGCTATTATGGTAGAGAATGTGTATATTTTCTCCTAGCTCTATGGCACTATTACACCCCAAACCCCACACCCCACCTTCACACCCTCACTCAGGTGCAAAGATTTTGGTAACAGTGACTTGTTACTTGTAATAATGAAAGATTTAACTCAGTGAAACTTAGGAGGAGCGTTTTCAAGTAATATTTATTCCCTAGTAAGTCACAGAAATTTTTTGGTGAAGATATGCTTACTATTAGAGACTTCCTTACTGAAATGGAAGCTTCGTATTCTATTTGTCATCCCAGGAAAGCTAGTTCATTAATAACAGTCATACTTTGAGTGAGAACATCAACTCCCAGTAGTATTTAATGAGATTTAGCAAATCTAGGATAATATGAATAGTTCCCAAGAAGGATGCCTGAGTGTCTGAGTGATATATTTAATGTCTCCTCTCTGTTATTATTATTATCCAGTGTAATCAAAATATAGAGAGAACAAGCTCACAAAGTCCTTGAAAGTACTACCAAGTGTTCAGAGACTGTGAGGAAAATTAGTATTTAAAAATAATTTCAGTGGTCCTTTGCCTTTTATTCTTTATTCTAAGCACATTTTTTGGTGAAATATAAATGTCATGTACTCCAAAGAGGTTCTAGTAATAATTTAATTACTAGGTCTCTTTTTGAAGCTATGAGCATTAAGGCAAAATTATAGGGGTTTGTATTGCTCCCCTACGCTAAAATTCCTTTATTCTATATTCTTCAAATATTTTGGTTTACTTATTTTTATTTTATGTGCATGAGTGTTTTGCCTGTATCTATGTTTAGTGTACCCATTCATGCAATGCCTGCAGAGGCCAGAAAAGGGAGTTAGAGCCCCTGGAATGCCACCATGTAGGTGTCGGAAACCGAACACAGGTCCTCTACAAGAGCAGCCAGTGCTCTTAACCACTGAGCCATCACTCACATTCTGCTTGATGTGATGAATGTATAGAATGTGTGCTAGAATCACAGGCATATCCATAAAGACCAAGAGGCAGTCATGAATTCCCCAATGTGATCACCTTTAATGTTTCAGTCCACGTACTGACTACTCTGACCTAGCAGTTTCTTTGTAATTTAAGATATAAACGATGACACTTATTTTCCAACAATTTCACTTTTTTGAGTGCTGTTTTTTAAATATGTTTATTTTAAGTGAATTTTTGTGATTTTCATACAATATAGTTTGATGGTATTTAGCGCCCCTCTCCTATCTGCAACTGCCCCCACTATCCTCACCCAACTTAATGTATTCTATATATGGTATATATATGATTTATGTCCCCAAATTTCACTTTTGAGTTACTGTCCATAAATATTTGATAAAGACATAAAGGAATAAATTACAAGTAAAAATTATAGAAGTTTGAAAAATTATAGAGGTCATTTTTTTTTTCATTTTCATTGATTTTATGGTTATTTCTGAGTAACTCAGTGCACAGTTGTTGAATAGAAGATAGTTAAAAGCTTAGAAAACCCCTCTAAACCACAAGTAATACACAAAGAAGACGCTCAATATCTTCCTTGGAAACAACTTTATTTTCTTCAGGATTAGTCCAAATGAATAGATCTCATTATGAGAATATGTTCCCTCCAAAGTATAACTTACAAAATACTACATCAATTCACATGAAAACCCAAAGAACACTATATGCCAGTGCACCTGCCAATAGATCAACTAATTTGTGTTTAAATATGGTTTAAAAACAGTCATTGATAACGTTCATATTGATAACTTGAGATAACAGTAAGAGGCCTGAGAAATGATGGTGGTAAAGAGGCTATCTGGTACTCATAGAAAGGGTTTCAAACAAATGTGCTTGCTTGTGTTATTTAACACTTAACCTCAATTCTAATGAGTCAAGACAGAATTGAAACTGTGAGTAGAAGCTGAGTTATACACCTAAAAAATCTTAAAGATCTACATAATAAGAAACTGCCAGACAGGAGACAACTTCCTTTGAATTATTGCCAGGGCAATCCAAGAGACTCCCAAAATTACACAGGCTATTGCCCTTGATTGCCTCCCAGAATTTGAAGGTAAGACCCTATTGCTGAAGACAGGACATACTTTGGACATGGGATGTGGAGCTGGAACTGACTTGGAAGCCACCTCCCTTGAATGCTCACTCTCACAGTTTTGGAGAGCACTACTCAAGCTGGTACATTTGATGGTCCAACCCCAGCTTCAAAGCCTAAAAACCACTTCAATGACTGGGACAGAAAATGACATTGTTTCAGTAGTGGCACTTTTATCTTGGGGGTAATCAAAGCTACTTAATTGGACTTAAAGCCCACTTAATGGGAGGAATCTTATGTGTGGTTCTGTAAACCTAGCCAAATACACATAACTGGAGAGGTCATAGATCTTAGAGAAAGCCCCAAAGCTTTCACATTCATAGACAAATGTTATTTCTTAGTATGTGTAAAATATGTATCCTTAAATTTACAGACAAGTATACCAGTCACCATCCATCAATGTAGTTTCTTTTTCAACAGAGATTATTATAGAGTTCCACATCTGGTCACACACAGAGATTCTCTGAATTTCCCAAGCTTACATGGCACCACTAGGATGCAACCTCTACACCCAAGACTCATGGAACATAGAACAAGGGATGAAGAGAACACTAATGCATCTTTCAATTCTCATCAATGAAGTTCCCTCATACAACAGAGGGCCAGGAACACAAAAGGCCACAAATGGCCAATAAACAGAGAATAAGAGTCTGCAGAGTGTGGGTCCTTGGACAAGACTCCTATATTAAACTCTACCTATGCAGGGCTCAGGGACCATTGCATAAGAGGGGGCAGAAAGATTGTAAAAGCCAGGAAAGGAGGTGCATGACCATATGGACATAGAGTCTTACAGGATCCTGGGACCCTACTCATATGAACCTACAGCAATGGTGTCAGCATGCACAAGACCCATGCAAACTCAAGCAGACAACAATCCAGCACAGAACTGTGGAAAGAGGCACCAGGCCCCATTCTGAGTGAATGAATTATTGGCAGCTGATTACTGCTGGGTGAGGAAGAGCTGATCTTCTTAAAGGGAGGGACTCTAGATAGGTTGATTAGACCCTAGTGGATGAACTTGCACTGTGAGACATCTAACTTGATATGATAGGCCTTAACACCAATGACAGAATGTATGAATTCCACCAAGAGGGGGCAGTATGGGTGGCTGCCAGTGGGGAAGGGGATATAAATATGATTAAGATATTCTGTATGAAATACACAAAAATTCAATACAAATTTAGAAAAACAAAACAAATATTCACTTACATATGCAGAGTATTTAAGATGAAGATCATAAAAGTTTGATTAAAACACATCTACTTAGTGACAATGAATAACTGTTTTATGCGGGGGCAGTATGGGTGGCTGCCAGTGGGGAAGGGGATATAAATATGATTAAGATATTCTGTATGAAATACACAAAAATTCAATACAAATTTAGAAAAACAAAACAAATATTCACTTACATATGCAGAGTATTTAAGATGAAGATCATAAAAGTTTGATTAAAACACATCTACTTAGTGACAATGAATAACTGTTTTATGCCATTAAAAAAAGAATATATTTCTTATTGACTTTATATCTTGCAACATGTTCAGATTAGTGGAGTTTTTAATGTATAATATGAAAATAAGATTCTTATATCA